AGAAGTTCTTGGGGCAGTACCTGGAAGAGACCAGGTGCTTCCACTTATCGTATCTCAGCTTGTGGTGAGGACAGTGCGAAATTCTCCCAGTCGTAATGTGTGACAACATGCATCAGATTTTGCTAATCAGGAAAGCTTACGTAAGCCTTGATGTCCAGGGTTGTATTAGTGATTGGTCATGTAGACATGGCTGCCCACCATGTGGCTGACCTTAGTCTCCAGCCACACCTCCACCTCCCAGACGTCAAGCTGATACCGCATGATGTGCAGCCCTGATACAAATCACATTGTTAGCATGGACTGTCTGGCATGGTCCAAGGCTCCAGGTAGACCAAGACCCTCTTACTTAGGCAGGGCAGGGATGACCTCACAGGGCCTGGGGAAGGTGAATCCCCTCCTGGCCCAGGAAGGAGGCCAGTCAGTGGTAAGGAGCAGACGTCAGCGTGGGACACTCTGAGCCTACCTGGACTGACAAGGGTGGCAAAGAAAACCGTCCACTGTTGGGTTCTTTGGACACCAGGCTTCACTGTGGGGTGGGTGTGGGGCTTTCTGTGGTATCTATGGCCGGCTGCTGGTCTGCACTAACCACCTGCCTCTTTTCCTCATCACAGCGCCTCACTGCAAACTCAGCTGAGGACCAGGTCTTAGCCCAGCTCGCTTTGTTGGGTTATAATTTCTTGCCCTCTTGGAGCATCCCAGTTCTTTGTGCCTCGGTTTCTCTCTGGACCTAAATTTCCCTCTGTTATCTTCCTTGTCTCTTTGTACTTGGGCCCCCAGCTGATCTCTGTCCGAGCAAGCTGACTCCCCTGTGCCTTTTCTCTCTACAGTCCAAGGACCTTGACCCAGCCCCTCATGGCAGACGCTTCATGACAGGAAGGACTGAAATGTCTCGTGGACGCCTGGTCTTTCCTTGACATTCCCGCGGCCGCCGTGTTGGGATGGAGAGCGACGCCCCTGGTCTTTGCCTGTGTGGGAGAGTGTGTGTGTTTCCCCCAGAATCCCTTTGCCCTCCGCCCTGCCCCTCCCCTCTCCCCTGATTTCACCATCTCTCCCTGCATCCCCCCAAGTCTCCTTTCTTGCCCCCTGGAGTCTGGGGGAGATCTTGCCTCAGGCTTCCTGCTCAAAGGGAGGCCAAAAGAGGGATCAGGGTAGGTTTTTGGCAGTGTTTGCAATGCTTCTTGAGTCAATAAACATCAGATGAGTTTAGCCAAGTGTGTTCATGTCCACTGTATCCTGCTGTGTTCCCAGAGCCGCCTCCCTTCAGGCCTCAGGCCCAGAGATCAGTGACCATGTGTTGTGTGCTCACCTGTGCCTTTGAGGGTAAGTGAGCGCTTTATAGAAATGCTGAGGCCATACAGGTACAAGAGAGGAAACGGGTGGCATGGCAATTGTAACTTAAAACAAGACCCCAGCTGAGCTAGACAGTGGATGCCTGTAGTCCCAGCTAATTGGAAGTCGAGGCAAGAAGATCGCTTAAGCCCTAGAGTTAGAGGCCACTGTCCTCCAGTCTGGGCAACAGAACAAGACCCCATCTCTGAAAAAAAATAACAAGACCTTGATTTCGCCTATCTTTTGTTTAAATAAGAAACCTTATCATACCCCCAAATCCTCTGACACTTGTATTAGTCTGCTAGGGCAGCTGTAATAAGATATCATAGACTGGGAACAGAAATTTATTTTATCAGGGTTTTGGAGGCCAGAAGTCAGAGCTCAATGTGCTTATAGGGGCTGGCATCATCTGAGGCCTTGGTTCTCACTGTGCCTCACCTTGTCCCTTCCTGTGTGCACACACATCTCTGGAGTCTAGTTGACCTTTTATAAGGACACCAGTCAGATTGCATTAGGGCCCATGCTCATGGCCTTGTTTTACCTTCCTCACCTCTTTAAAGGCCCTATCTCTGGACAGTCATGTTCTAAGGTCCTGTGAGTTAGGGTTTCAATATAAGAATTTGGAGGGGGCTCAGTCATCCCGTAAACTGTATCCCCCCCGAATCAGGCTCAGTTTGTGATTTCTTCCACAAGAGAATGTGGCAGAACTTGTACCATGAGACTTCCAAGGTTTGAGCTGGGAAAAGCCACGCAGCTCCCTGGGTCTCAAAGCATTTGCTTTCTGGAGAGTCCTGGGACCAATAGCCTTGGTCATGTGTGTTCTTACAATGGTAAGAGAGGCACAATGGAGCCCTTTCTACTCTTGACATTGCGTAGGCCAAGTAATGCGGCTGAACCTAAATTCAAGGAATGGTAAAATGTGCTAATGCATGCCCTTATTTTGGTGGGAGGTATTGCAAAGTCATGTGGCCAAGTGTGTGAGGACAGGGAGGGTGAAGAATTAGGACTGTCCGTAAAGTCAGCTGCAGGGTATTGGCAGTCTGTTTTCCGCTTTGAGGAAACATGGCTAGACCTTTATGTTAGACAGATTTCAAGCCTAATTTACCCCGTTGTGAATGGGCAGTCAGAAGCAGGAACCGGCTGTGTATGGTGGCCCACACCTGTAATCCCAACATTCAGGGAAGCTTGAGGCAGGAACATCACTTGAGGTCAGGAGTTAAAGACCAGCCTGGGCAACAAAGGGAAAATAGGGAGACCTCATCTCTAATTTAAAAAAATCCAAATTAGCCAGTTGTGGTGCTGTGGTCCTGTAGTCCCAGCTACTCGGGAGACTGAAGCAGGAGAATCACCTGACCCTCGGAATTTGAGGTTGCAGTGAGCTAAGATGATCCCACTGCACTATAGCCCAGGTGACAGCAAGACCCTGTCCCACCCAAAAGCTCAAAAGAGGGCAGT